AGGGGGTTGGAACTGGATGGGCTTTAAGGTCCCTTCCAACCCAAACCCTTCTGTGGTTCTATGAACTCTTACATTTTTTTTATGAAGTGCTTGTGAGTTGTTTCAAAAGTGTCCATCAGGTGTATCTCATCTGATTACTGAGGTCAGATATCTGGACTTGGTCATGTTCTATGCCAAGCCTCAAAGTGCCTAATTTTTTCAGAAATTGTTGTCTTTTCAACTGTGAAAAAATGGAACATGCAGTGCCAGAATCATTTGTAGGGGTAGCACTGCTCTGTGGTTTTTTTTTTCTTTGAAGGCTGTCAAAGCTACAGACTGTAAATACATGAGCTTGAAGCAACAGTAAACATGTGAATAATGAATTTCAAGATTACAGCAAGCAAATGAATGTTGGTTTAGTGATTTTTACACCACTGAGTAATCCACTTTTATAAGCAATTTATTTATTTGTGTATAGCAGTCTCCTGCCCATTTTTGTATGGTTATTGAGATGGTGAAAAGATTTTTATACTGGGGATTGTCAATAATTTACATGACAATATCACTGAATTTTCTCTTAGTAAGTTCTAGTTTGCCTTTTTAAAATATATGCAGTATTGATTGAAAAATTGTTCTTGCTGTCTATTAATGCCAGAAGGGATAGTTAGCCATTAGTGAGTTGATCAAGAGACACAGTTTCTAAGCTTGACCAGCTTATTTTCTTCCCTCTCTGAAGGGGACTAAACTGAATAATAATTAGTAATATTTACAACTACAGGTGCAAGGAACACTTTAACAGCAGAAAAAGGTGGCTCTGGAAAAGGCGTTACAGCTGTGTGGTTTGGTGTGATAAAACCATTATTTCATACCAAATGTGTGTTTTGGGTTTTTTTCCTCATTTAGGCATCTCAAATTTTTATTTTAATCTGAAGTGAATTTCTCTATTAATTCAAATTTTGAGCCCGTATAAAGCTTATGTTCAAATATGGACTCAATTCTTCCCCTGTTACAGTGAAATGAAACAGATGAAATGAGAAAGGAAGCGGTAGAATGGGTACAGTATTTTGAAACAGAGCTGGGCATGTAAGAAAACTATTACAAAACATGAAATAAAGATTAAAACAATTTTTATTTGAATGGTTTGTTGTTTTGTGGGTTTTTTTGTGGCAATAAAACTAGACCCGCATGCCTCTATGGGAACATGGAAGACTTTGAAGGAGTGTGAAGATAAAGGTGAAGGGATCTTGTTGAAAGATCAAACTGCGTGGTGTTAGGCTAACTGCACTTGTTACTGTTTTCATGTCTGGTAGTTCGTCTTGTTCCTTGTAATATCAGAGGCAAGGTACAGAACTACCAACTTTTTTAAAGATGCTATCCACCTCTCTAACCTGTCTAATCAAAGGTGCTGAATCTGGTTTCATTTTTCTTTCTTTTTAGAGAAGACAGCCTTCTTAAAGCAAAATAATTATTTTAAGCACTGACAGAATATTTGAAGGAAAGAGACTTTAAAAGAAGAATCTGTTTACGTCCGTTTTACATCCTACAGCGATGTTCAGTTGGTGACTTAGGCAAATCTAACTGCTGTGCCTATGTATGCCTACAGGTTCTTAACTCCTGGTTTAGCCGTGCAGAATAGTCTCTTCCCCTGAAATGTCAAGGGAGTCTTTTAAACCTTTCATTGTTGTGTGCTTTTGGTTTTGTTCCCCGCCCCGTCTTGGCATTATTTGCTAATAACTCAAGCTGGTTTTCTCCAGCTGTTTGTCTCTTGAAACCAAGCCAGTAAGATCACACAACACAAATCCCAAAGACCATCTGTGTATATAAGATATTAAAAAACTATTAGTGACTTCCTCCATTTCTGACACACAACTCTGAAAAGAGCATTGCTTTCAGATTCTTCTCCTTGGAACATCAGCACTTGAGTATTTTCATTCAAATGTAGATAACAGATAGTGTGAGTTAAACTAATCTTGTGTGACTTCAACAGTACAAGTTCCAAACTGGTGACAACTGTTGAAACTTACTTTGAAAGGCCAGATAGGAAACTTTATAACACAAAATCACTCTGTCTGTACATTGATTGACATGTTAGGATATGAAGTACTGGAAGTAGCTTTCTGATAAATTCTGAATTGTTTTGGAGTCCTCTGAAATGAGTCAGCACAGGTCACTGGTGAGAGATTGATACTAGCCTATGCGTACTATGAATCTACAGACTACAAGGCTCAATATTCCTCCGTATTTTGTAAAAATACCACCGTGACCTTTTTCATGTCGGTGTAGTGTGTATTAACAAGATTATGCTGCAGCTTTATTTTTTCCCCATTTTTTTTAAGCATACTTGTTATTATATATATATAGTGTGTGTATATATATAAAATATAGCATATGTACACATAGAAAGAGTATACTTCTTGTATACTGAAGCATACCTGTTAGAAATATTTGTTTTCCGTGTACAGGTTTGCAGTCTGTGACAGCTTCTGTGGTCATGGCTGTGTACGTGGATCATCGAGCAGAAGCTCCTGATTCAGTTGCCTCCCCTTCTCATATAGCATGGCACCCACTTCATCCACTCCTGGCGGTTGCTTCCATCAGCACAGCATCTGGGGGCTGTGTGGATATCTACCTGGAACAGGTGAATACTCAGCAACTTGGCTTTTTGGGGCTTGGTATCATTTTACTGGCTTGGAACTTTACTTTTTTTAATCTCTATATTTGCAACCTTACTTACGCTCCTTGAATCCCTCTCTCTGGATTTTAGTTACTATCTATACTAATTATGGGACTATTATGTCCCATGCTATCTAGGACACGTCAGATTGATCAGCTACTGATTGTATGTATTTCATAAGAAGGTTTTCATAAATTAAATTGACTTTTCCATTGAAATTTAATTTTTACAGCCTTTGAGTCTTGTTTGTGATGGTTACCAATTTGCTTTTTGCCGTGCCTAGTATGAGAATTTCAGGCTTATAAGTAAAATGGACAAATTCTGCTGCTTTTTTTAACTCTAAGTGAATAACATGCACTAAGAAATGTAAATTTAAAAAATCATTCCTCCACCTTGAGACTGAACTGATTTGCTAGACTCAGCTTGTTCCATTTGAATAGGTTGTTTCCTCATAAGGTTTCTGCCTGTAGACAGGTATTTCCTTTGCATACTCTAAGTGTTACACAAGAAGCTTGCGTAGGACTTTGCTTGGCATAATTTTCAGGAAAAAAAAGTGCCATTTAGGGAAATGGTACTACAAGCTAGCTAGCACCAGATGTACTAGAAACATTTAAGTCTGTTAATATGAGTAGCCTATAAAATGTAAACTTTTCAAAGTGTATTATGAAAAATTGTCATCCAAATTTTGTAAATGGAAAAAGAAATACATAGAGAGGTTAAATGATTTGCCTGAAATAATATTGCAAACCAGGCACAAAGGAGGGTCTACCTTTAAGAGCTGTTAAGCATTAGATTATTCTGTGTCCTCAGTGAGGTGCTTTATTCTTTTTTCAAAAGTTTTTTTTTTTTTTTTAACCTTGAAATGTGCTCGAAGGCTTCTTATCCTTCATACAGGAGTAAAAGCTTGATATTCAGTGAGAGCTGCTCATATATGCTGTGAGGGAAGAGTAGCCTGGTAAAGCAGAGTGGGGCACTCACTTAACACTGCCGTCTTTTCATTAGCAATTTTCAAGTCGATGTACTGCGCATTGTAGCACGTTTTTATGCACATGAAATAGCTGTAAAGAGAATTTGTGTAGCCACTCCATATCTCTTGCAGGAAGCTCTATTAAAATGCCAGTCCTTTATCACAGAAAAATATCTTGTTGACTGGGAAGCAAATCTGAAGGTTTAGCTGCGTCCTCGTACTGAGTTTCCATTGTACTGAGCTTGCACTTTATTTCCATTTGCAGGGAGAACATGTGTCCGATGCACATGTTGAGAGAAGCTTTCAGGTCACATCGCTTTCCTGGCACCCTTCCAAACCGATTCTTGCAGCAGGATGGGAGACAGGAGAAGTTGTGATACTTAACAAACAAGACAAGGAGCACCACGCTGTACCACCAAATCATAACACCAAAATTGCGGTCCTAAACTGGAGTACAAGTGGTACCTGCCTTGTGTCTGGTGACAGGGTGAGTAGTTGAAATGCCAAATGGGTGTTTGTGGAACACAGTGTTGCAAGCCCTGTGATGGGAAGGGATAGTTCTGAGGGAGATAAATTTCCTTGCTTTAGGTACAAATTAGAACTGTTAGGGAATAAAATCAAATCTCAGTGTTTTAACTTTTTCTCCAGTACTTGTTGCTGTTTTAACAATTTATCTTTAAATAAAAGATAAAATGCCTTCTACGATGGCATGGCTGGCTGAGTAGATGAGGGGAAAGCAGTGAAGCTTTTGACACTTTCTCCCATAACATCCTCATAGGTAAGGTCAGGAAGCGTGGGTTAGATGAGTGGACAGTGAGGTGAATTGAGAAGTGGCTGGAGGGCAGAGCTCAGAGGGTTGTGATCAGCGGTGCAGCTTCTGGTTGGAGGTCTGTAGCCAGTGGTGTTCCC